AAATGCTATCTTATTATCATTGTATTCTGGTATGCAGTATTTTATTGTATCACTATTTGTTTCCTTCTTTCACATTATGGAGTCTAGTTATAATTAAGTGAAGAATTTACCTGTAAAAGGCTATTAGTGATGTCTTTTATTGATGTACAGTCTGTGCCGATGTTATACGTGTTATGTTGCAGGCACGTTGCTGAACCTTCGATTTTTGACACTAGCATATCAAAGACGTTTGCACAACCTTCTATACCTGGCAATAGGAATATTTCGCTTTCCGTCGTGCTTTTTTTCGTCGGAAGCTTTATACAAACATCGGGTATCAATTGATCATCGCCTGATATGCGAATGAGCAATTTCATTCCTGTTATCTCGGTGAGTTCCTCGTTCTTCACATCTTTCTCGAACATTTTGGCGAGCTTAGCGAAATTGAGATTGCGAATATCCTGCGCGGTAAGGAAAATCTCATACTCCCGTTCCAAGGTCTGTTTAATTTCCACGGCCATCATCGAGTCCATTCCAAGCTCGGACAAAGGCATGTGATGAGCCACGGTACTCATGTCCTTCAGATCTATATTTAATTAATTTTTTATATTTAGTTTTAATTATTTAGTTTATATTATATATTTTAATCACATTTAATTAAACACATTGATCTTCTTTATCAAACAAATTCCAATTGAAATAAATTGATTAATCAAATAGTCTAATTTTTTAATGTTATTAACTTACTCATAATATTGGCCACAGTTTCGACAATACTGGATGCGCCAAAAGTGTTCAACCGCTTCTCGGCTACAACCATGCTCGCCACTATAGGCTGTTTTTGTAACAAAAAGTCCTCGAGTTTCGCGATGCAGGAAGTTATCTTTTGCTGCAAAGTGCCGCCGATAACCATTTCTTTGTCGTTGTCTTGCATATCAGCCACGAGGCCGACATCGCCGACCGCACCCCATTGAACCGCTAGTCCATGCAGACCCTCTTGCACTCGTCTCTCGCAAATTCTCTCCATGATGGAATTTGCCATGCCGTAATTGGTCTGTCCGGCATTTCCTCTGCCGCAAGATACCGAAGAGAACACAACAAAGTGACGAAGCTGAGGACATATTTTCTGGTCAAATGATCCAAGTTCTTCGTGGCCCAAGCTTTCGCTTTGAAGGGCTCCTGAAACGTCTCTACAGTTTGATTCCGGCAAATTTTATCATTCAATACCACAGCCAGGTTGAATATAGCGTCCACCGGTGCCAGTTTTTCTGCCGATTTCAGCATATATTCGCAATCTTTGACGTCCGATACATCGACGTTCGGTATGATTAGCACTTTCACTCCGTAAGATTTCCACAGATCGATCTTCATCTGCTGATATCCGTTTCTACTCCGACGCGCGAGATGAACACCAGATTCTGAGCGCCAACGAACAACCAGCCAGTCGGCTAATTCTAAGCCGAAGCCACCCAAGCCGCCTAAGATGATGTACGATTTGTTCGATAGACAGTAATAACGTGGAAGTGCAAGAATGGGTGCGCTCATAGATTCATCTTTTTCGTGTATTTTTATGATTATCTAAAAGTACGTCAATTCAGTTAACTCAGTTTTTATATTATGTTTTATGTTTTATCCTTAATTGATTAACCGTAATTAAGCCACAATTAATTCCAGTTTAATTGACTTACCTTTCCTATATGCTTTCCAGCTGCCATGTATCTGAATGCAGCCTCCACTTCATCCTTTTTGAAAATCTTTCTGGCAATCGGTTGAATAGCTTTATTCGCAAGATTTATGGCCACTACCATGTTCAAACATTTTTTTAGTTTTTCCGGAGCTGTGTATACATTATCCAACATAATGCTGTAAAATGAAATTCCTTTCGAAAGCATCGACAGGTTCAACAAATTATTGACCATAAAATCGTATTTGCCTATTTCCAGAAAACGCCCGCCCTTCGCCAGGCAACGGATGGACGTCTGGAGTTTCTCTTCGGCGAGCGAGTTCAATACAATGTCCACGCCACGGCCGTTGGTCTGATTAAATATCATTTGCTCAAAACTGTTGTCGCGCGAATTTCCAATGTGATTTTCTGGGATGAACGGGAACGTGTCTCTGATAAACTTTCGCTTTTCCGGAGTGCCAACGGTGGTGAATATCTCGCAACCTTTGTGATGCGCAAGATGAATCGCAGCTTGGCCCACGGCACCGGTACCGGAGTGGATAAGTACCGTGTCTCTCTTTTTCATATTTGCCTTGACGATTAATCCGTAACAGCACGTACCGTAAGCGCACGGAACCGTTGCAGCGTCTTCCATGCTCCACTCGTCAGGAACATTCCAGCATAAGTATTTGGCGGATGTGCACATATTTGATATGGATCTGTGAATTAAAAAATTAAAATTTTTTTATATCTAAAAAAACAGGATTATCTAGAAAAAGCATAACTTGTAAGTTTTACAGTAAACATAGTAATATTGTTTATAAAAAATTTATGCACTCCAATAAAATAATTTTACGTTTGTGCTTTGGTTTTGGAAAATTTTGCAAGTTGCGTTGCAAAGTCTGCAACATTTATAATACAAATTTTTTTACATAAACAATTTTTTAATTATTTTTATTTTTTTGTCACACATGCACATACAATATATACAAACACAATATATTAATTGATCCAAAAAAACTTACCTTAAAGTACATCAATCTTTTTTATATACAGTATACTTTTAAATGATTGTGTGACAATAACGTACCTGTTTTCCCAAATTCCCATCACTCTCTGTCCAGTATTATTGACGCCGACATATTCCATACCCACCATACAATCCTCGAGACGTCCACGAGTTGAATGGAAACCATCTTCTGTAAGTTTGCCGGATGCTATCATTACATCTTTGAAATTGATAGACGAGTAAGCTATGTGAACGAGATTATTTTCCTTATAATCCGGTGTAATCGGACCCTCTATCCAGCGAAATGAACTCAAATCACCGCTCATCTAAATGAGAAATATCTTTTATTATAATAGAACTGTAAGAATAACTTTTTTTATTAATTTATGAAACATTTATACCAATTGATTGACAAATGCGTGGTACACGAGTTTCGGTGTCAGCGGCGATAACGGAAGATGTCTATATGAACCCCATGTTTTACCCGGACGCAAGACATTTATGATAAGATCGATCCGGAGCTGCTCCGCGTATAATAACTCGTGCAAAGAAAATTCCGGTGCAGTTTCGTCTTGAATAAACACTCCTCTGATCGATTCGCCACCTGGTTCTCTCCTCAAGCAATTGACGAGGCCCAACAAGCCGCATTCCGAATCTTTGTCGCTGACCAAAATTATTTTTGCAGCGTTTCTCGATTCGATTTCCGCGTTCAAGATCGATTTTAGCTGCTCTAACCAAGAGAACTCATAATTGTTTACGTGAATAACTTCAGTTTTCCTTGTCGACTGTTCTCTCTTCTTTAACAGTATAATGTGCTCTTTCTGCGTGCGTTTCTCAAGTACTACTGCTAAATTGTACTTTTCGGCAGTCACAATGTCGTCTTTCGTGAAGGACTGTTCTCGTGTCAATAAGAATCCATTGTTTTGTAACACCGGCAAAATTTCTTTTAAGGTTTTGCTCTTGTTCTTCGTGAACAAATTGTATCCTGTGATTAATACCGCATTATCGTCATTCGACAACTTCTTTGATTGCGAAACTGTGATTTTCGAAGGAAGAGTAAGGCAATCGAAGCGATCGGTTCTGGTCACCAGAGTAATGTTTGGTTGAAGCGACGGTAAATCATTCAAGATATCGATAAACAATGGTGATGCTATTTCATCTGCTTCTACTTTGTCATCATCTTCGATCAATTCGATAATATTTACTTTTATCACTTGATGATATTCCAGAGCGAGATGCGTCGACAGCATCACGCCTTCCCGCCATGAAACCTCGGCTCCGTCGCGATGAGCTATGAATCTGTACTCCTCGAGAACGGGCTCCCCCGCTAGCTTCCGACGATTTATGGAAGTAGCTTTGATTCCGCGAATTTCCACACCGCCGGATACTACCGCGTCGTAGGTTTTGTACACACGCACAGGAAGCTCTAAAATGATATTTATAAATATTGTATTTTTTTATACTGAAACTTCATTTACGTTAAACAAATTTCTTTATTTGAAAATTAGTCACAATATTTAAAGTTTCATTAAAAAATTAATACTAAAAAGCTGTTAGAAAGAAAATAAGTCGACAAACTTACGATAATCGTTTGCTGCTGCGTTCCGTATTTGCTGTATGTGAAGTTTTGTATCGATTACCAACTTTTGTATTTCCGTGGGAACGTGAAGACTCCTCGTGTCTATCCCGAGAATTTTCATTTGCAGCATATTATCCATAAATGTTACCCAATTGTACATCCAAGCTATGTGCCCTTGTTTTCCCGTAGTCGACGAACTCTTCAAACCCCGAAATATGCCGGCGTATTGATATCCTCGTAATCTGAGTTCTTTGTAGATATCTTTTGTGTTCATTACTTCCTCCTCATTGTCGTCCTCTTGATTTAAAAATTGTCTCGGTAACTTTTCTTTGGTAATATCTGTCGGTTCACGCACAGTGCCAGTCACAACGGCATTATCTCCTTCCATGACTTCAAACTTTCCAGTTGCTGCAATAAATAATCTTGAATATTTCTCTTTATCAAATAAATTGAGTATTGTCATTCTTAATGCAGCAAATAAAATAGCTTATTGAAAAATAAATTTTTAAAATAAAATCTACCTTTCTGCACCATTATTGTTAGATACACGGGTCCTTCTTTCGGAAAATGCGTTGCCCGAATGAACTTGACATTTTCAAATACGATCGGCATCTCTGAATACGATAGACTTTTCAACAAACCCATCGTTTCCCAAACTAGCATGATATATCCAGTAGCCGGCAATAACTGTCTTCCGTCAATCACATGACCGCTCATATATTCGTAATCTTCATCATTTAGCGCAACTTCAACCATCCTTTCTCCGTTACAGAGTCTCATCTGCATTTTATGACATGTTACGTACCAGTCCTCGGAATGATTCCATCTGGAAATAGAAAATAAAAATTCCTTACTGTGAAAATAATTTTGTATTCTATTATGTTTACGAAATGAATAATGTGTTCGATATACTTGATTGACGGCGAGATCATCGCCGTGGAACGACTAACAGGAAATTTTACGGTCGGATATAGATTTGCTAATTGCGGTTGCAAGCCACTGTTGTACATTTTTCCTAGACCTCGCAAAAATACTTTGACGTTATCTTCGTGATTACGCTGAAGTAACATGATGCTGGTTGCGTCGAACAGTTCTTTCATAACACTCTGAAGAATTGCATCTGGAGCGATTTCAAGAATCACTGCGTTTCTGGGAATCAATTGCGCGGTTTTATCAAAAGATACAGCACTTGTTAAATTATTCGTGAAATATTCAGCGCAGGACAATTTTGCGTTGTCAAATAAACTTTGCCATATCTGATTGGGAGTCATTGTTTGCGGTATTATTCGATTTAAGTAAGCCAGAATCGTGGCTCTCGCGGGGAGGAGATAACGAGTATGCAGAGGAATATCGCAGCAGTTGACTTCCTCAGTAAATACATTATTGGCCTGCAAAATTATATAAAAAGTGTAATTTGTTTAAGTTAATTACACGTATATTCGACAAAATATTTTAATGAAAAATTAAAGTACCTCTAATTGTTTTGTAAATGTTTTTACTGATTTTTTTAGACCGCTTATGGAGCAAGTATTTTGACTGTTGCTGTAAATTATTTCGATATCTGGTGGGCATATGTTCTTCACATTCTCATAACTGAGACCGATATTCATCATCGCGCAGTTAATTTTTTTGTTTCCTTCAATCCCAATCCTATGTAATACGAAGATAAAATCACTTGTTCAAGGGTAAATTACCAGTCGCATATGCGCAGCAGAGTTCACCAATTGAATGACCA